GCTTGTTGCCTTGACTGGTTGGGGTGAGTGAATAGAGGAAGGAGAAAAGAAAAGAAAAGCAACAAGACACAACAGACAATCAAACAAGGGCAGGTTGAGGTGGCCAGTGGAAACATCACTCCCTTTCAAGTAATTTCAAGGTCGGTAAATTCAATTCAGTTTTATTTATATCAGAGCCAGGGCTACCTGCAGAAAGGTACAGGGAGAGAGAGAGGACACACTACGGGAGAGAGGAGACATGTAGTGGTGGCATATAAATGCATGGAGAGAGAGGAGAGGAGAGGAGAGGAGAGGAGAGGAGAGGAGAGAAACTCAGAGCATCATGGGGCCCCCAGGAATCTAGGCCACTTTTGCCTTGACTGGTTGGGGTGAGTGAATAGAGGAAAGAGAAAGAAAAGAAAAGCAACAAGACACAACAGCAAACAAACAAGCACTGGGCAGCTTGATGTGGCCGGTGCCTGCTCATCAGAAACCAATAGATCCAGAGCCAGGGCTACCTGCAGAATGGTACGGGCTAAATGTCATCACTGGTCAAATTGGGCAGGAGTCCAGAGAAAACTAGAGAGGAGAGGAGAGGAGAGGAGAGGAGAGGAGAGGAGAGGAGAGGAGAGAAACTCAGAGCATCATGGGGCCCCCAGGAATCTAGGCCAATAGCAGCATAACTAGGGGAAGGCTCAGGGCCACCTAAGCCAGGCTTTGTATGTTAGGAGAAGGATTTTAAATTTTATTCTGGATTTTACAGGGAGCCATTGGAGAGAAGTTAATATGGGAGAGAGATGATCTCTTTTCCTATTTATTGTCAGTACACTGGCTGCAATATTTTGGATCAACTGGAGGCTTTTTGGGGAATTACTGGGACATCCTGATAGTAAAGAGTTACAGTAGTCCAGCCTGGAACTAACAAATGCATGGACCAGTTTTTCAGCATCACTTTGAGACAGGATGCTCCTGATTTTGGCAGGTGAAAAGGGCAGTTCTAGAGACTTGGTTTATGTGTGATTTAAATGATCCTGGTCAAAGATGACTCAAAGGTTTCTCATAATAGTACTAGATGCCAGAGCTATGTCATCTAGAGTAAATATATGGTTAGGCAGCATATGTCTAAGATTTTCAGGCTCAAGTTCAATAACTTCAGTTTTGTCAGAGTTTAGAAGTAAGAAATTACAAGTCATCCAGGGCTTTGTTTTTAAGACATGCTTGAAGTTTGACCAACTGATCTGATTCATAGATAAATATAACTTATCATCTGCATAGCAATGGAAATGTATGCCATGTTTCCTGATAATATTACCTTAAAGGGGGCATGTATAAAGTAAAGAGAACTGGACCTGTGGAATGCCATTACTAACTTGAGTCTGTGTGGAAAATTCATCATTAACATGAATAACTCAGGTAGGATAGTCAGGTAAAACAGTGGATCCCTGTACATGATCATTCTCAGACATAATTCCCAGACAGAGGAAAATACAGGACCCCTTGGGTCCTGTCTTTCCTCTACATCCTCTGGTCACAGTGCAGCAGCAAGAGGTAAAATATATCCACAAAAGTGGGCACAGTCAAAAAATTCTGCCTTTACAATGTCACCAGTGGATGTCTTTTTTTTAATACTTTTTTTATTCACATAACAAACAAGGTAATATAACAATCTGCCAATATGGTGGAGGCACCAGTGGGTATCAGACAAGCTCACATGAACGCCCAAAGGCCTAGAGATTATGCCCATTCAAGGAAATCCTTAAACGATCATGTAATTCTTTATTTTGTTAGAAAAGAAGTCTCATGAGCAAGAGTTTGCAAGACATGTTTAAACCAAGTTGCTTCTTCGCAGAAATGCTAGAACATATATTCACCTCATTTTTTGAGCTTTAGGTCACATCTTAGATGAGAAGTCACCATTGTAACATTGTAGATAAGTCAAAAAGGAAGGAAAAGCATGCCATGGGCTCTTTAAAGTGACTGGTAAGGAAAAGCATGCCATGGGTGAATGGTAAGTGAAGTAATTGTGACTAACAAAAGAAAAAGTGCTTAAAAAGCATTTTCATACTTTGGACACACTCCGAACAGCTCTGATTCAATTAGGTGCAGAAGGCTACAATCCAACATCCAACACTTTTAGTAATCAAGGCAAGCTGGGCAGTTTATAGGCCTATTTCAACTAGCTAAGCTATTTGTTTCCATCTGTTTCTGTGCTAAAACTTGGATATTTATTAAACTGTGGGTTTGGCCACAAGTGTTTTGTTCCCTTCAGAAAGTTATTTATTGTGAATTGAAGTTAAAGTGCTGAACATGACTCACCTGGAGGAGGTACCAAGGGCTGTTACCAGAGCTTGCACGAGCCCAGCAATGAAGATAAAGGGGTTCTGCCGAGTGATAACAAAATAAAGAGTGGGAAGAATGAGAACAGCATGGATCAGTAAGCCAATGATCACAGTGATGGTATACATGCCCAACTGGCCACCCATTTGTGTCAGATCATCCATCTCCACAATCTTTCCTGCAATTAGGAACAGGATACCAATAGGAGCATACCTGACAGGAGGAGAGGAAGAGTGAGTTATTGGAAGTCTGATGTTAACATTTGTTCAATGGGAAACAGCTTCCCTGAAAGTGAAGTCTTACCACATGATGATGGCAACTAGGTGCATGATTGCTTCATTGAGACTGTCAAAGAAATCCCTCAGAAGCTGGCCCTGCTCCTTCATGTTGCCAATTATCAGACCAAAGCACATGGAGAAGACGACCAGGCCGAGGGCGTTGACCCCATTCACCTGACCCGGCAGTGGGATCACTTCCTCCCGTGTGATCTCCATGACTTCCTGGGTGCCGTTGGTTGAGTTGAAGAGGGTGTCATTTACTGTCACTGATACATGGTATGATCGCTTCCCATATTTGGTTTTGAACTGAGAAGAATTAACAGAATGGAATAATTAGATATGGCAGAGATAATAGGCAGTCATCAACAAATCATTTGTTAAACACACTTATGCTTCCAAAGTCTAATGAATAGTAAGCACTGATGACGCTGGAACAGACCCCTGCACTAATTTCAACCATCACATACTACTTTTAAGTGACTGGTTCATAAATGTCTGGATTAGTGTCCATTGTCTAACAGAACACATGGATATTGGCATATTCATCCTGGGTTTGCAAATATTTTTGGATTCCAACCTAAAATGTATATTAATGATAACAATGTACACTAACTTGGGTGTAATGGTCAATACAGTATATTTATGTGCACTGTGCAACTTATTTTAGTTCAGTACAGCTATTTATGTGCACTGTGCAACTTATTTTGGTTCAGTACACATTATTTGTTGGCTAATGTCTACATTTTGTCAATTAGCTTTTTATTAGCTTAACTACACTACTCAGTTTAGCCTTAGACTAATTTTAGCCTGAAAAAAGATCTAACATATCATCAGTATCCCTATTTAGAAGTATGGTCCCAGTAAACTGTAGTAACAAAAATAGTAGATCAGACAAAAAAAAAAAAACTGGCAATATTTTTCAGCACACATAATGCTATGTCTCTGAAAATGTCTATATGCAAACTTGTTTTTTGAGGGCATAGCTTTAACAGTGTTTGGCAAAAACATTGCTGAGCCCTGCTGTATGTTTTCTGTTGTATGTAAATGTTTGCACATAATTGGACCTATACTGTTTTCTTTTCGAGTAAGTTACTTAGTGATCATATGCAAATGGATGAGTCCAGTTATTCTACAGCACAACTGCTGTCCATGTTAAGTCTTTAGTTTCATAAATAAATGAACAGAAACATAAAGCTGCACTAATCATGTTTATTTTTTAATAATGGGTCAAATTTACCAAGTGTATGTTGTTGTTGGTGATGAACCCATAGAGAATAGTCACTCAACTTTGAACTTGAGTTGGCTGGGCTGTGGCCTAGTTGGATCAGGATGAGTCAGCCCAGGGCCAAATTTCAGGTCTTATGAAGTAGATTAGTCTACTCTCGGCTTTTCCACAAGCATACCATCTGGCTAAAATTTCATCTTGTGCACAAGAAAAGTCAGATTTTGATCAACAGATTACAGAGCTCATTCATGCTCTTCAGAGAATAAACTCTAATCAAAATAATTTTATCCATTAGATATGGCAGAGATAATAGGCAGTCATCAACAAATCATTTGTTAAACACACTTATGCTTCCAAAGTCTAATGAATAGTAAAAACATCAGCAGGTTTTCTGTTATTTATTGTATTGATTGTACTGAACATAGGAGACAGGAGTTGTTTGCCAAATGATTACCTATTTTAATTATTTGTGCACATTTGGTAAATATTTACTGTAAAACTCACCTGCTGTGTGCAGGCTTGGACCAAGTTTGGTGGAAACATGTTCCTGAAATGAGAAATCACAGTAATTAATAGAGGATGTTGGTCATTTTCTTTTAAACTTTGTGAATATCATTGTCCACATTTCCTGTTTGCAGACTACCTGATCAGATCTAAGAAGGCATCAGCAGGACTGACGTGTTCTATTGTCTGCTGCTTTCCAAACTCCTCTTTTGATCCTTTTCCTGGGTGGATGACGAGGACGATTATGATACCAATGAAAACTGCAATAAAGGTCGTGGACATGTAGTAAATCACAGCTCTCATGCCCATCTTTCCTGAGGCTTTGCTGTCCAGAGCTGCCATTCCTAATGGAAAGAAGGTGAAAATGCAATTGATATCTATGTATTAATACATTTACAAACAAGAGATGTGGTGAAGTTTTCTCTGTGAATTTTATTCTTAATCATTAGGCAGATTATGAATTAATTATCAGTGTGTCAGGTACCACCATAAACAGTATGGTCTTTATCACCACATATGGTAGTTTATAAAACAAACAAAAAAAATCACACATTTTGATTTATGGTTTTTCTGCTATGATTTAAAAGATTATGAATCAAACCTTGGACATTTTGCAATTACAGATACAACCATTCAGAACTGCTCTTCCCAGTTGACTGGCTTTCAGCTATTGTGCAGCTGGCTTGCAGCTCCCAGCAGCCCCTCTTCTCCTGTTGCCTGATAAGGTATGTTTAGGTTCCATAGTAAACACTCATTAAGACCTATTTCTTGATTTGCATGGTGTTACGATTAAATGGCGCTTTGTTCTCAAGAACATATACACACACACCAGTGTGACTGCCTAAAGTAGCAGAGTTGCATCTTTGTTTGGACCATGGTTTATACAATAGAATTGTCTGACCATAATCATTATCATACAGGTACTGCACCAGATAAATAATTATAACGTGTTACACTGGGCTTCACATTTCTATTCAAACATCTCAAGATTCAAGATTTTTATTTGCCATTTATGCATAAACAGACAGTCTAGGCATATAAGAATTCTTGTGCAGCTCTCCTTTGGAGTCAGATAAGGAGTCAAAAGCCAGAAAGAACACTTAGTCTTAAAATAAAAAGGTACAAAAGGGCGACAAAGTATTAAAACACAATACATAAAAATAGGGTAATAGTATTTCCCACAGTGAACTTCAAACATCGCACTTAGTAATTCACATGGTGGAGTTGTATGCATTATGCTTGGTGAGGTAGTGAAGGGTTATTACACATGTCTAGTAAGGGGTTATTGCACATATATTCTCACAGTTTCGTATTTGCCATCAGTCTTACTGCGGCAGGGAAAAGCTGTTGTAAAGTCTTGTTCTGTGTGTTATGATACTGTCTGCCCTGCTGTGCCTGAGGCTGTAGGTGCAGTTTTTGTGTCTGAGCAGAGAGTGAACTGGGTGGAGTGGGTCCCTGCCCTTTTACGACAGCGCTGTGTGTATAGTGTGTCCATAGCAGATAGTGCAGTCCCAATGATCCTCTCTGCAGGCTTTATGACCCTTTGAAGAGCCTTCCTCTCTGCTTGTGTGGTGTTACCATACCAGACTGTGATGCCAGTAGTGAGGATGTTCTCTACCAGTCCTCTATAAGCCTAGGTGAGAGGGCCATCCTTTAAACATAGTTAAGATGCTTAAGTTACATTAAGAAATAATGAATAATAGCTAAACATTAAAGTATGCTAGAATTAAGAAGATACAGTAACTTCTTTTGGAGTATTAATTTGAAATCTGATGTATCATACAGCTGCTGTCATAACCCTGCAGTTATGTGGACTTAGCAAAATGATATTGTCAGTACACATTACACTATTATTATAATATTTGGTCAGTAACTGGCTATTTTTTCTGCAAATCTGAATGCCAAATTTGCCGTTTGGTAATGTTATAATAATGTTTAATGTACTGTAATGTAGGTGTAACTTCAATTTATGATGAGATTTCAGACCAAATATTAACATAACTACAGTCAGACTAGGTGAAAGATTATACTGTATGTTCCTGTTTTAAGCAGGCCTATAAGCTAAAGTCTGAAACATCTACAGTATAGTAACCTAATAACCCATCAATGAAAATATGGATGAAGCTGCTCATTTGCTTGACATGTCCTTGCAAATGTCCACTCCACACCAGAGGAGTGGAAGGTAGACTGATGTTTTTGATAACCCAATAAAAATACAAAGACTATTAACTACTGAAACCCATATTTGTTTAGTTGCCTAACAAAGAAGCTAACTTGTTTTGATATTTTGGCTATTTTTCAAAAAAACATCTTTTCATATGACAGTCCACAACAAGTATATTCTCAAAATGACATACTAAGTAAACAGTGTAGTGCTCTCCAGGCATTGGAGAGCAGAATGCCTCTTCATCAACCCCCGGTGCATAGACCAGACTCTGCTTTGTGTTTCAAAGACAGCTTTAAGGTCAGACATCATAACCCCATCCTCTGAAAACAAACCAGATTTGGACATCAAAAGGCCTAGCCTTGTCTCCATGACTACATGAGAGAAATGCCCCATCTACTTTGGCTTGATTCACACCTGTGAATTCAAATCAATTCAATTTGTATAGCACCAAATGACAACAAATGCCATCTTGGGACACTTTAAAAAGTAAGGTCTAGACCTTATCATTATTATTATAGAGGAAAAACCCAGCAAACCCCCTTGAGCAAGCACTTGGTGACAGTGGGAAGGAGAAACTCCCATTAATAAAAGAAACCTCTGACAGACCCTGGCTCTTGGTGTGCAGCCTTTTGCCTCGACTGGTTAGGGTGAGTGGATAGAGGAGAGAGGAAAGAAAAGAAAAGCAACAAGCAAATACAACAACAAACAATTGAACACTGGGAAGGTTGCTGGTGACTGCTCATCAGAAACATAGAGCTCCAGAACCAGGGCTACCTGCAGAAAGGTACAGGGAGAGAGAGAGGACACACACAGTTAATGAGATGTATTGGTTGCATAGAGAGAGAGGAGAGGAACTCAGAGCATCATGCCTGCTCCAGCAGTCTATGGCTATAGCAGTATAACTAAAGGAAGGCACAGGGTCACCTGATCCAGCCCTAGAGCTGGTTCCACAGGAGAGGAGCTTGATAGCTAAAGGCTCTGCCTCCCATTCTACTTCTGTGGACTCTAGGAACCACAAGTAAACCTGTACTCTGAGAGCAAAGTGCTCTGTTAGGATGATAAGGTTCTACGAGGTCTTTAAGATACGATGGAGCCTTGTCATTAAGGGCTTTGTATGTTAGGAGAAGGATATTAAACTCTATTCTGGATTTTACAGGGAGCCAGTGGAGAGGAGCTAATATGGGAGAAATATGATCTCTTTTCCTTTTTTTTTTGTCAGGACTGTTTGTTGCACCATTTTGGATTAACTGGAGGCTTTTAGGGAATTACTGTGACATCCTGATAGTAAATAGCTAAAGTAGTCCAGCCTGGAAGTAACAAATGCATGGACCAGTTTTTCAGCATCACTTTGTGAGAGGATGTTCCTGATTTTGGCAGGTGAAAAAGGCAGTTCTAGAAATTCGGTTTATCTGTTATTTAAAAGGACATATCCTGGTCAAAAATGACTCAAAGGTTCCCCACAACAGAACTGGAGGCCAGATCTGTCATCTAGAGTAAATAAATGGTTAGACAGCATATTTCTAAGGTTTTTGGGCCCAAGTACTTTACTTTTGTTGGAGTTTATAAGTAAGAAATTACAGGTCATCTAGGCTTTTATGTCTTTAAAAAAAGATTGAAATTTGAACAACTTATGTGATTCATCTGGATTCATAGATAAATATAACTGAGTATCATCTACATAACAATAGAAATTTATGCCATGTTTCCAGATAATATTGCCTAAAGGAAGCATGTGTGAGGAAAACTGGACCTAGCACAGAGCCCTGTGGAACACCATGACTAACTTCAGTCTGCGTGCAAGATTTTTCATTAAAATGAACACATTGGAATTTTTCTTATAAATAAGATTTCAACCAGCTTAGTGGAGTTCCTTTAAGGTGCCCATTAAAAAAGATTGAAATTTGAACAACTTATGTGATTCATCTGGATTCATAGATAAATATAACTGAGTATCATCTACATAACAATAGAAATTTATGCCATGTTTCCAGATAATATTGCCTAAAGGAAGCATGTGTGAGGAAAACTGGACCTAGCACAGAGCCCTGTGGAACACCATGACTAACTTCAGTCTGCGTGCAAGATTTTTCATTAAAATGAACACATTGGAATTTTTCTTATAAATAAGATTTCAACCAGCTTAGTGGAGTTCCTTTAAGGTGCCCATGGCATTCTCATTTTGCTTTTCCAGCCAATTAATGTTTAATCTTGGGTACCTCTAGATTAGCTTGGCACCCCTCATAACTCTAAATAGTCTATAATTATTTCATAATGATAAAACCAGAGAGCCTCTTTCTAAAAACAAGAGGATAGTTCATGAACATGCAAAACTCCTGTTGCCAGTGTTATGTCCCAAGTGGACAGAACAACAAACTGAACACCATGACTAACTTCAGTCTGCGTGCAAGATTTTTCATTAAAATGAACACATTGGAATTTTTCTTATAAATAAGATTTCAACCAGCTTAGTGGAGTTCCTTTAAGGTGCCCATGGCATTCTCATTTTGCTTTTCCAGCCAATTAATGTTTAATCTTGGGTACCTCTAGATTAGCTTGGCACCCCTCATAACTCTAAATAGTCTATAATTATTTCATAATGATAAAACCAGAGAGCCTCTTTCTAAAAACAAGAGGATAGTTCATGAACATGCAAAACTCCTGTTGCCAGTGTTATGTCCCAAGTGGACAGAACAACAAACTGAAATGGCATTAATTCATTTGAATTTCTCCTCCATAGATACAGTAGTTAAACAATGGTATACTGTATATACTGATGAAAAGACATTTGTAACACTAAACAAAACAGGTAATTGAGAACCCCCATATTTTAACTGGCATAATGCAGACATAGTAACTTCTCCAGTCTTACAACAATTCTCTCTAAGGTTACAGAAACAACACATTAACAGACATAAAATGTGTTTTTTTTTTTTAGACTTATCATTAAGTCCCACCCAGTAGTGGAAACATCACTCCCTTTCAAATAGCTCCAGGGCCGGTAAATACAACCGGTGGTCACTGTGTCTTCCCCCACAGAACCACATGGGAAGCAACACATCACATGTGGCAGACATACTGGCCTCAAGCAGTCAAAAGAAAAAGGTATTGTGCTCTGGAGGAATCCAGTGTTGAAGAGCTGATCATTCACTTCCACTGGGGGGCTTTACTGGCCAGCTGATCATAGGTTTTCCCTTCCCACTGTCGCCAAGTGCTTGCTCAAGGGGGATTTGCTGGATTTTTCCCCTATAATATTAATTAAAGTAAGGTAAAGCATTTTGAGATGACTTTTGTTGTGATTTGGAGCTACAAATAAAATCGAACTGAACTGAATCTAAAACCAGTGAAAATCCTCAAACAAATCATTCCTGTGCAAGTGTTAACATAACTGCTTTGCAGAAGCTTTTTCAAGGATTTTAGAAATAAAGTGGAGATTGGATATCAGTCTATAATTAGCTAGAACACCTGGGTCCAGACTAGGCTTGTTGAGTAGAGGTTTAATTACTGCAACTTTAAAGGCCTGTGGAACATAGCCTGTTAATAGAGAGAGGTTAATCAGATATAATATGGACGTGTTGATTAGGGGCAACATGTCTTTGAGCAGCCTGGTCAGGATGGGGTCTAAGAGACATGTTGATGATTTCGATGAAGCAATTGTTGAGGTCAACTCAGAGATTCATGGGAGGGAAGCAGTATAAATATAAATGAGGTGTTACAGATGTTTCTAAAGCCATTGTTCTTGATGACACATCTGTGAGAGTTGTGGGAAGTATTTGATTCTTATTTGTAAAGAAGCTAAGCTACTAGCTTAGCTAGCTTCTAGGCTATTTGGCCTAAAGCAGGAACCAACTTTAAGACTTTGCACTCTTAGACAATAAGTTTGAGCTACTTAAAACAAACCCAACACAGTTGGTCCTCTTATGTGATTCACAGATACTATAGGATCGGATCCCTCACAAGAGAACAGGACCACACTGGAATGTGAGGAGTCCACCATAAAACTGGCTCAGTATTTTTCTCCCTCTTCCCCCTTATAACACTTGAATATTATATTAAATGTGAAATTATGTTAACCAAAAGTTTTGTGAAGTGTCTAAACAGAAGTTTAGAGATATTTTAGTAAAGTTGATGATTTGGGGACCTACATAACCTCAGTTACTGCAAGAAAAATACTTCTTCTTTAACAGTTCCGTATAACAATGGAAAAGTTATCCTCAATGTAAAAATGCAAAGTTCTGTGATCAAAGCATGTAAGATTACAAGAAATTTTTGTATTATGTGTAGTTTAAATCTGCCTAACCCTATGCAATGATGTCTTCCCTCTAAATAATGCCAAAACCTTAGCTCAGGAAATTGTGTTTTGATTTTTATATTGTTATGATTGTGCGCTAATAACAATTGTGCTTTCTATTATTCAAAAGTTAACTTTTCCTGTACCCCATACAATATAACATTCTCTTGTGCTTGTATAATTTTGAAACCGTGTTGTCTAGGTGTGTCTGAACTGCGATTTCCCCACATTGATCATATAAAATGTGTATTTCAAATCTGTCACCCACGGTGGAAAGTGGAAATTATGGACCACGTCAAATTATCTTAAGACAAAATTACTAATGTTCTGCACTCCATCTCACAGCACTCCCAAAAGAACCCATCAGTAGCCCGTTACTATAACTTTGTCTCAACATAGAACAGAACAGAGAACAAAATAAATTAGAATGCACTCAGGAAAAATATTACAATTCATCAAGATAGTCTATTGGCAACTGAAGTAACTGTTGTTTTTGTCTTCTTGGCAATGTGGTGGGCACACAATCACAACAGTATTAGTATTAAGTACTGTAGTTTATAAGAGGAACTGTGTGCTTAATTTTGTACAGAGGGAAAGCATTGCTGCACACCACAACCACATCTGTGCGGTTGTGTTTTTCTCCTTGTGAATGCCAATGAACGTATTATTTGTAGCTCTGAATCCTACCTCATACTTTTTAATCCTTAGTGACTAAGTTGAAGCTTATTCTTTTAGTACTTAGAGCCCATACCAAACTGAAAAACCTGTTTTCTCAGAAACAAAATATAAATAATTAAATCTGGCCATAACATAAACCTGTAGTGAATTATCTAGGAGATTCTGAGGAATATTGAGGATATCTTTAAAAGAAAATATTTAAATGGGAATTTAAGGATGCATAACCAAAATCCCATGACCGAAAACCAAATTCTCCTCAGCTGTAGCTTTGTTTCACCTAGCCTCTGTCATATATATTATTTCTGTCTATTTAAAAGCTCATTTAGTCTTTTGACCTGAATAGTGTCAATTATGTTTCAGCTTTTCAGAAAGGTCACAAGTGACAGAGGGTACCACCTTTAAGAATGTGTAAGGTTATGTTCTCCTGCTGCTAACCATGACAATAGGCCGCTGCAGTTCGGGGCCATAAAGGTGAAGCACCTTGAACCAAGTCTTCGCTGAAAGGAATCAGTGGAAAACTCCTCATCACCAAGCTGAGACCAAGGTTGCGCTCCTTGGTGTAAAGATGACCTCCCTGTGAAACTCCTCTATTGAGTAGCATGTATGACATGATATGTTGTACCTGTTATTAGACTGGAGATCAGTAAGGGCAGAACAAGCATCTGAAGCATTCTCATCAACAGCTCCCCAGGGAAGGAGAAGTACTTCACTTCTCGATATGCCATCTTATAGGGGCGGAGCACAAATCCCAGAGCAATACCTGCAGAGAGGACAGCAGGGTGGACCTGTGCATTATACTGAATGTCTACATTGCACTGACAAGATTCTAACTGATTGAAGTCTGACACGTTTCCATTTAGCTTGCAAAGGTATACACACCTACAATAACCGCTCCAACTGTGAAGAGCACAAAGGCGTGCTTCTTGAGGAAAGCCTGGACATCCTCTTTGGAGATCTCCTCCACTTTCCTCTTTGCCTTCATGGTGCGTATGTGAATGCCTTCCCTGATACGCTGCATCCTGCTGTAGTAGACCAACATGTCTATTACTGAGAGTGGAAGGTGCATAGAATCACCAGCAGGATGTGCAACCTTTGGTGAATATAGTATTTAACAAGAAACTTATCAAATCTACCTTAATACAATACTCACACAGTACATCCATATTTCTCATTTGAATGCTGCCTGTGAAATGATCCCTAACCTAACAATGTGAGTGTGATGGCCACACAATGGAAAGTTTAAGCTTCACATACTCACCCACATCAATAATTATTTTCATTTGCAAACATACAATAACATAAAATTTTAATAGTGTGTTTTGTTTAAAATTTCTTTACAGGTAGGCTACTTCTTTTGTTGTAATCATAGTTGGGGTAGTTGTATTCAACCTTTAATCTGAAATTACTAAAATGATGTTTTCAGCAGTCTGATTTAGATAAAGCATTCTTTATTAAAAAAAAATTGTATAAAATTCCCACTTTGCACCCTGCTGTCAGTTCACTGACTGCATCCAAGAAAATGACTGGGCTGCATTTAATTGTTTTTGTTGGAGGAGTTCCCACCCCATGGGACAGGGCTGCTCGACAGAACTAATAACCAAATAAATATCAGCATGTAGATGTCTATTAAAGTCACCCACTATGATTATTTTATCTGTACTAAGCACTAAATCAGACAAAGTCTAAGAATTCAGTTAAAAACTAAGGGCAGGTGGACGGTATAACAAATAGAACTGGCTTTTGAGTTTTCCAGTTTGGGTGTGAGAGACTCAGTGAAGCTTTCAAAAGAGTTATAACTATGTTTAGGTCTAGGGTTGATTAATAGGCTTGAGTCAAAGATCGCTGCCACGCCACCACCT